TATATATATATATATATATATATGATAGATGCATTTCTATAGTCCAAAGACAAACACATATACAGACACAGAGCCGTGTGTTTATAAGCAAACAGCAGCAGCAGCAGCAGCAGCAGCAACAACAGCAGCAGCAACAGCAGCAGCAACAGCAGCAGCAGCGCGAACCAGAGGACCAGCAGCAGGCCAATGAGCAGCTTGAAGTATCTGCTGCTCCTGACAGCAGCAGCAGCAGCAGACAGCAGCAACAGCAGCAGCAGCAGCAGCAGACAGCAGCAGCAGCAGCAGCAAAAAGCAGCAGCAGCAGCAGCAAAAAGAAGAAAAAGAATCCTTACTATCTTCAGTCATCTCTAGAACCATGGGGGCCCCCGGGGGGCCCCCCGGGGCCCCCAGCGGCAGCGGCGCAACATAAGCAGCAGAGAGGTTCAGTATAAGCAGCAGCAGCAGCAGAAGAAGAGAAGTTTTATGTTGCTGCTGCTGCTGCATCTTGCTGCTGCTGTTGCGCTGCTGCTGCTGCAGCGCTGCGCTGTGCTGCTGCTGCCCTCCTCTGCTGCTGCTGCATGCCGCCTGCTGCTGCAGCAGCAAGGTATGTGTAAAACAGCAAATAGAAACAGCTAGCTGCAGCTAGCTGCAGCTAGCTGTAACTAACTACAGCTAGCTACTAACAGAAGACAACAACACAGCTGGGGCCAGAGAGGCCTCAGGCGAGGAGGTCGCTGCGTCGGCAGCAGCAGCAGCAGCAGCAGCAGCAGCAGCAGCAGCAGACGGGAGTGGTTTAGATTAAAAACAAATATAGAATATAAAAAACACCAAACACGTTTTCTTTTTCACTTTCTTATATTATACAAAGAACATGCAGCAGCAGCAGCAACAGCAGCAGCAGCAGCAGCAGCAGCATCGGCCCCGGCCAGGCCCAGCGGCCTCCTGCTGCTGCTGCTGCTGCTGCTGCTGCTGCTGCTGCTGCTGCTGCTGCACGTGCTAGCGGAGCGAACCCCACCCCACACACCTGACAGATGCATTGCCATCTTCTCTCGTCTTCTTATTCTTTTTTAATATAACCAAATAAATTATTTTTTTTTTTTATTTTTAGGGTCTTTAGGCTTGGCTGTTGGAGCAGCAGCAGCAGCAGCAGCAGCAGCAACAGCAGCAGCAGCAGCAGCAGCAGCAGCAGCAGCATGCTGCCCACTAGTCCTCCTTATTAGAGACATTTTACACTTCAGCAACCCCTCCTTTAGTTCTTTTTTCTTTATTTCTCTCTCACTATGTCGCCCCACTGACGCAGCAGCAGCAGCAGCAGCAGCAGCAGCAGCAGCAGCAGCAACAGCAGCAGCAGCGCCAGCAACAGGTTCTGGGGCTTGGGGGCCCCGTATAAATTCAGCACTTCTCTCCCCGCTTCTTTGTTTATTTTATTATTCGAGGGGTTTTAGTTTGCTGCTTGCTGCTAGAGGACTGCAGCAGCAGCAGCAAGAAAAGCTGCAGCAGCAGCAGCAACAGCAGCAGCAGCAGGAGCAGCAGCAGGAGGAGCATCCGCGGCAGCAGCAGTAGTAGCAGCAGCAGCGGCACCGGCAGCGATAGCAGCATAAACGGCAGCAGCCGTACCCGCAACAGCAGCAGCAGCAGCAGCAATAGCAGCAGCAGCAATAGCAGCAGCAGCAGCAGCAGCAGCAGCAAGTTAGCTGCAGCAGATTCAGCTCGCAGATGTACGGGTGCATGCAGTGAAGCAATGATGTATTGGTGGGGTGCTGCAACAGCAGCAGCAGCAGCAGCTGCAGCAACAGCAGCAGCAGCAGGGTTGCCGTTGTTTGCCTTGGCGCATACACCTCACGCAGAGGAAGAGCAGCACCATCATCACCCCCTGCTGCTGCTATTGGTGCAGCAGTAGCAGCTGCTGCAGTTGCTGCTGCTGTTGCTGCTGCCTCATCGTG